AGTAATTACGAAACATGGCATTAATCTTGGCCAAACCTGAGTCTGCAATACACCATGTACAATTTTGCATTCTTACACAGCTCTTACACAAAAGGAGAAAGCACATTTTTTTCAAATTCATCTTATGGATGTGGGTGTCAATGGCTGGCCAGTAGTTATCGCCCATCCCCAGTTGTCTTTGAGAAGGTGATGGTGAGCTGCCTTCTTAAACCCTGCAGTCCATGTGCTGTAGGTAGACCCACAATGCCCTTTGGGAGGGGATTCCAGGATTTTGAACCAGAAACAGTGAAGGAACGGTGATATATTTCCAAGTCAGGATGTTGAGTGGCTTTGAGGGGTACTTGCAGGTATTGGTGGCATCTGCTGCCTCTATCCTTCCAGATGGAAGTGATCATGGGTTTGGAAGGCATCTGCTGTGCATCCTAAAGGAAATGCACACTGCTGCTACTGAGTGTTGGTAGTGTGGAGAGTGGATGCTTGTGGATATATTGCCAATCAAGTGTCCTGGATGGTGTCAAATTTCTGAAATGTTGTTGGAGCTGCATCCATCCAGGAATGTGGTGAGTCCAGTTGAGTTTCTGGTGAATGATGGGATGATGATAGTGAGGGATTCAGTAATGGTAACACCATTGAATATCAAAGGGCAGTGGTTAGATCTCTTATTGGAGATGGTTATAGCCTGGCATTAGCATAGTGTAAATATTCCTTACGACTTGTCAGCCCATGCCTGGATATCGTCCAGATCTTGTTGCATTTGAACATGGACTGCTTCACTATCTGAAGATTTGGGAATAGTATTGAGCATTATATGCAATCATCAGCAAACATCCCCACTTCTGACCTTATGATGGAGGAAAGGTCATTGATAAAGCAGCTGCAGATGTTTGGGTGAGATCGTGAGTTGTTTAATTGTCCACCACCATTCATAACTGGATGTGGAAGGAATACAGAGCTTAGATTTGATCTGTTAGTTGTAGTATCACTTAGCTTTGTCTGTCACTTGCTGCTTATACTGTTTGGCATGCAAGTGGTACTGTTTGGTAGCTTCACCAGGCTGACACCACATAATCTTCAGTCAGGTTTGCTGACATTTGTCATTGCAGCCACCTCACATGAGCAGGCTTGTTGGCTTGGTCAGGGTTCACCCTTAACACTGTCACTGTGTAATAAAAACAAGCCAAACTATATATAGCCGAGAGTTCTCATGAGCTGATCAGCATGACGAGACTTCATTCTTAATGTTGTAAGCCTTTGTGCAAAGAATTGGCAAGGTTTTAATGGAGCCAGGTAACTGAAGAAATCTGTCCTCACCACAACTTGGAGGAAGAGGTTTAGCCTGCAAATACTTTCCTGGTCTACATAGTCGGGTTTTTGAAAACACACATCCCCCAGTTTTTGATTGACAAGATTGCACCTGAGAGCATAATTCCAAAGGCTGGGTTGCTAATGAATAATCATAACATGCAAATAAATGCAAAATAACTTGTTAACTATGAAGCTGATCCTTGAAAGATTCTGAGAACTTAAAACTGAAATGTTAATCCATCGTCAGGAAAGTGGAATGCAGTGGGCTGGTCTCCTCCTTTATTTAATGTGATACTGTCACCAAACACACCAGGAGGCTGGTAGCTGGTGGCTGGTGGCTGTGGGTGGGTGGGTGGGGGTAGATGAATGGGAGTGCTGGGGTAAAATGCTTCCCATAATGTCACAATTCTGAAGAGTGCAAAGAACTTCGATGCATATATTTTTGAAGGTTGCAGGAGACATTCGGTTGGATAATACTCTGGCAGTTTTAAGATGGAGATGCATACGAAATCTAGGTGGTGCTCTATGTACTACCCAGTTTATTTTACCAGGGGCAGGGTGGCATTTGGGGTGATCTACCTGCCAGTAAGCAAATTGAGGCACTTAACTCATCACTTAATGCCCACTTAAGGGCTTCATTAGATTGAAGATCGTGGCTGATCTGATTGTGGCCATGACTCCACTTTACTGCCCTTCCCCATCACCTTTGTCAATCAAAAATCTGTTCAATCAGTCCTAAGCACATTCAATGACCCAATTTCCATTGATCTTTGTGGAAGAGAATTCCAAAGAATAATGACACTTTGAAAGAAGAGATGCTTCTTATCCCGTCTTAAGTGGGTGACCCCTTATCTTTAAACTGTGCCTCTTAGTTCCAGATTCTTCCACGTGTGGAAATATCCTATCAGTATCAACCCTGTGTCAAGTACCCTCAGAATTTAATCTGCTTCAATAAGGTCACCTCATTCTTCTGGACTCCTGTGACAACCCACACCACTTTTCCTCACAGAACAACCCTTTCATTCCAGCAATCAGTCTGAACCTCTCCCAAAGCCAGTGTATCCTTCCTTAAGGAGACCAAAATTACACACAGTGCTCCTAATGCAGTCATACCAATGCCCTGTAGAGCTGTAGTAAGGCTTCCCTACTTTTGTATTCCATCTCACTTGCCATAAATGCCGCCATTCCATTTGACTTTATAAATACTGGCTGTTAATGTTTGTTCTGTGATTCACATATGAATCTTTTTGGCTTTTCTACACTTCTTGTCAAAGTGCGTAACCTCTCATTTTCCAAGATTACACTTTATTTGCCAATCTAATTCCCACTCACTTAACTCACTTAACATATCCTTTTGCAGGTACTTTGGGCTGAATCTTATGGGGAAGGAATGATATGGGTTATGAGAAATGCAGCAGAATTGTGTGAGAAGTTCAGTGAAGCCTATCTCAATGTCAGGAACATTGCACACTATCTTTTAAGCAAATTCCAGGTGTCAAAGCGAGATTCTGACGAGGGAGAAACAAATTGCCTATTAAGGGGGTTTATTGCTCATTAATGGCCTTGTTAACTGTACTTTTCATCTTAATATCATTTGGCTTCCTATCCTACCACTTGCTGAGAGCAAACTAGCATTCTCATCATGGAAATCGGAGGGGTACCTGGTGAGTTCAGCACACCATTGGTTGTGAATAACCTTGATGTTCCTCACCAACCAATAGCATCTGACAGCATGATCATACCTATCCTGTTGCTTGATCCCTTGGTGCTCATTCACTTTGTGCCTTTATATCGATGTTGCTGCCTCTCTGCTTTGGGTCAGATGATTAGACAAAGTATGAATAACATTAAAGAATAACTAAACAATTAATAAAAAAGGGAAAATTAGAGTATTAGCAAAAGCTAGCTACAAATATAAGAACAAACAATCTGGTTTTTACAGGTATTTAAAAAAGAAACGAGTGATTCAAGTTCTCTAGAGAGTTGGAAAAGTTGGTAATAGAATATAAGGTAATGGTAGGTGATAAAATCAGTTATTCTGCACTAGCCTTCACTGCAGCAGATACCAGTAACATCCTAGAAATAATCTGAAAGGGAGCAAGGAAGTTAAAAGGGTCTCAGTGACAAAGTAAACGATACTGAGAATATACAGCAACAACAGCAACAACAACAACAAGAACAACAGGGTTGAGGAAGGGTCACCGGACCCGAAACGTTAACTCTGTTTTTTCCTTCACAGATGCTACCAGACCTGCTGAGCTTTTCCAGCAACTTTGTTTTTGCTCCTGATTTACAGCATCCGCAGTTCTTTCGTTATTTTGTTATGAGAATATTATGAGAACTAAAATCAGACAAGTCCCCTAGCCTTGATGGACAACATCCTACTCAGAGTCAATGGTTAATCAAGGGTAGGTGAAATATGGCGTTGAGGCCACAATTCGATCACCCATTATCATACTAAATGTAGCAGGCTAGAGGCGCTAAGTGGCCTACTCCTATTCCTAATGTGTATGCTTGTATACATGTTCGCCCCCACTCAGTGAAAATCCAGGCTGAAGGGGTGGTTGAAAAAGATCTTGTAACTACAGAGTTCAAATTATGTAGTCTAGTCGAGACTAAATGGTCCAGAAAGAAAATATGCTTTAACTTACCTGGGATGGAAGGCTGATCTGAAAGATTTCTTTAAAAACTCAAGCAGTAGGGAGTATACAATGAAATGAATTATGAAATTAGGTAGCAACTACAATGTGGCATTCTTGGGACAGGAAAGACTACACCTGAAAAAAATGCCAATGATTTATTGTTCAGTGGAATAAGCTCTTACTCTGAGTTGAAGCAGGGGTTACCACAGAATTATTTAAAAATTTAGGAGGCAGTTTGTTTAAATTTATAGTCAATGGGATATGAAGAGCTGGGGATGTAACAGACGATATATAAAAATTGAGTTGTTTTTCAGTTTTCAACTGCTCTGTACTCTCTCACAGTTCTGTTGCTGTGATGTTGTGAAGATTACCCTCTAATCAAAAAGAACTCTCTCCAATACTCATTATAAAATGCAAAAGCATACTTATATCTTCTGCTGGTAGCCTGAGACTTTATTGTCAAATTATAGCAACATAGGTTGTAAACTTATCATTTAATCTGTCCAGCTATGAATTGACTGACCAATCACACAAATTTATTCTGCAAAATAATTCCATGTTATGAGGATATTGCATACGTGAGGTATTTTAATTTTAATGTAGTGCATAACTTTATTGTTCTTCCGTTATAAGTGTTTCATTTTGGGTTGTTATAAAAGCTCAACAAACACAACCTAGTGAGAAAAGCATAAAGGTTTTCTATCCCATTCAGGGGAACCTTCAACTGGGTTAAGGCTGTATAAATTTAAAACTTTTCACCAGGTTCAGAATTGCTGCAGGCTTATTGCACTGGGAATATTTCTTTTCAGGAAATAAAGCTTACTAGACGTTTTAGTATGAAGTGAAGTTAAAAGAACAGTAGGAGGATAACAACATGTAGGTACAATGAATATATTTCACAATGCATCACTTTAATGTGGGCAATTACAGTTCAGATCCGCAGTTTCTCAGTCAACTAACTATTTCCCAGTGAACAGGCCTTACTATTTGAGTTAATTTTCTCTGTCTCTTGTTTCCTCAATAATTCCCACACACAACGTTGTTGGACCTCACCTTTAGCTCTCCAGAGGCCACTTTGGAAGCCATCTCAATGACACAGCCAACGGCCATGCGTGCTGCACTGGACGAGTGCATCTCATTCCAAATGGTGTCACTGTCCACCTGAGCAAACAGACAGCAAAGAGAAACAAATCTGTGAGGGAGGGCTGGCAGGATGACAGCCAATGTACAATAACATTAGTCTTCCTTCTTGGCCAGCTGAACGGACCTTCTGGACATGGATTGCTTATGCTTTTTTATACACAGCCATGTCCAATGGAAATACATTCCTGTCATGCCTCACTGCCACTCAGTGTTTAGACTTCATTACAAACAACATCACATGCATGGACCGGATCTAGCTTGCTTTGCAAGACTGTTATACACAGGCCACAGTAGTGGTTTGATATGAGCCAGGGGTCTGTGGTATGTTCATGACTCTGTTAAACAAGTGCCAAAGAAATTGAAAAGAAAACCAAGTTAATCTTTATCACATTAGATACTAACAGAAAGCATACTCAGCAACTTTAGAAGCATTCTTTAAAAATGTTGTTTTACCTCCAGTTCTTTGTGACATAAAACAGTCTTATTATTTAAATGATGATACAATACATAACTAAATAGGATTATGTCTTATTAACATTATCTGCCTACATATCAGTGGCACAAATACTACTCTGGTACTTATGTTCCTTATCCACTAATACAGGTTTCAGTGCATTAATGTAATAAATACTTTTATATCATGCTAATAATTTCCTTTTCCATGTTATGCTAGTGTTAAAGCGGTAGTATATAATTTTTGCAAGAAGTACCAATTGGAAATTAACTGATTATGACAAGCATTGAAATAGCTAACCTCATACTGTATTACTGTTGCTTGTTAGAGATGGATATTCTGCACTAAAAATCCTTCAGGTAATTTACAGTCAATGGAAAAGATTATTAATAGTCCTGTATATGTCTTTCTGATGCCAAAAACAATTTATGAAACAGCTTAATTTCATTATTAGGAACCTGGAATGTACAGAGAAAAAAATAAAGAAAGAGAAAATATGCATGCTAATCTGTGCTGACTAAGAATTTCAGAGTTATCGGAATACGTTATGAAAAGGATGAACACTTTAGAGATACCTTCTCTTCAGAGTAGCTGCTGAGATATGGCGAGTATTAAATCACTCACTGGACAGTTCAGAAATAGAAGTTGGTCTTTGTTGCTCCAATTTTACACCTGTATCTAGATTAACTGGTGGCTGAGGAAGTAGAAATTTCATTTGATTTGGTGGTGTAATATAAATTTAAGGTGGAGCAAGCAATAAAATGAAGTTAATGTCTTGAACAGATCAGCAATGACAGAACAGGCTTGATGGACTGTATGGCCTTTTCCTTCTCCTATTTTTTGTGAGCTTATACCCAATACTGCTTGGAAAAGACCTGCGACATGAAACTAGTTGGAGCCATTTTCCGAGCTTCATCTATCCCGGTTAACCCAGAAACAACTCTGCCTTATTAAGTTTATTTTATTTAATTGGGGTTGGGTACATCATACATAGGCAACTAGTAAATTTTACAGTTTGAGCACCACTAGGAAATGTAAGGTGCGCAAAACTTAACCATTTAATCAATGTGTTTTTTTTAAGTTGCAATTCTTGGCTGCATTAACTATTGAAAGAGACTTGTCAGGTTACTTAAAAAAAACTCACGTACAAATATTGTGACATAATTTTGTTTTCTCTTTTATCTGGATTTGCAATTAAAAATACAAAATTGGATTCAATTGCAGTAGTGGGAGTTATACCAAGAAAATAGAGAGGTGCTATGTCAGGGCATGTACTCAGATGCATTCCTGCCTCTGGGAAAATTTGTGGGCTTGGGATTAACAATGTCTTCTTGCTACGTGCAGGCAGGCAATTCACACAATCATGGCCCCACTTAGGGATAGTATGTTTCCATTATTGGAGTGGTCCCTGTATTTTGTGGAGGCTGCCAGCTGGGTTATCACTATTTGTGAGGAGGGGGCTCTTTACTTCTTGACTTCCCTATAAACAGCTGAGGGCGTGTTCATTTTGAGGCGCCCTCAAATTCACCTCACTACCTTGGCAGCAACCATCACTCTCCACGTGGAGCTGCCAGTCTGACATTATTCCAGCTCTCTGATTGCTTTGTCAATCCTGATTGGATGGAGCTACAGGCAATAACTTCTTAATTGATTGCATAAAGGTCTTGACTGATGTCCTGCCATGGCAGTGTCCATATTCTTGACTCAGGAATTAGGCTGATATCAGTATTGCAACCTAATCTGGAAGTTGCCATTCCAGTAGCTGGGTGTTCTTGCTTGAATTGTGTGTCAATGGAGGTAGATGATTGTCGCATATGGTGCAAATGTCATGCCATCCTGAGGGCATGAGGAGGAAGGCGAGACACACAAAGCTGGTCATTAGGTTGGTTTAATTTAAGTCATTACCCAGCTTCTTGAGAACTCACCTTCAAGCTACCGACTTTGGTGAGAGTGGGCAGTTTTAAGCAACTGGCTAAAGAAAACATCTCAGTCTGTCAGGAACAAGGTACGCTGTGTGTAAAGTTATTTCATTTGAAAAAAAGTGGCAGATTTTAAGAAAATTTGTTCCATTGGTTGAGACATTTTCTTAACCAGAACAATTCACTATCGTAGATTTTTTTTGGAGGACCCATTAGATAGCGAAAAAGGAGGTGGAATCGATTGCATTCTAAATATACGTGGCCTACAAGACATCAAATATTACAGGCTACCTGGGCCTCTGTAAACCTCTTTAATTCTAAGATTGCAAGAGACAGCTGCATGTAACACCCTCCACTCCAGATAGTAATGGTGAGGATCTCCGCATTAATGCTGCCTAATAATAACTCTCAGAACAGCAAACTGGGATTGTACTGATAAATTTCCATTGTTATACCAAACATTCTTGTGTCCCTGCAGTGTCAGATTGCCAATAATTAGCTTGCAATCATGAACAGTTTCTCGCTGTTGGTTCGCTATGAATTGGGTCGAGACAGCTCAAACATATTTTACATACAAGAGCCGCAACTGGCAGGAGGGAGCTTTCATCTTATCATTCTGGAGTCGATTCAAACTCAGACCCCTGATGTGAAATTCAGAGTCCAAACACATTGCATCACTTTGTCTATGTGTGAGTCATGCTTGATGTTTAAATGGATGTGTTTCAATATTATGGTGGTAGAATTTAAAAACTAATTAGCAATATCTTGTATGTGAAGCAAAGTGTTGTCATTAAATTCACCATAACAAAATTTAAAACACATCGATAGGCAATGTATGATTGAATAAAACAGTAAAATCAGTTGTTACTTTTAATATAAAAATGGTTCAAAATGTTCCCTGCAGGTTTTTATTTGAAGAAATTAAGATATGGTGTTTTTTCGTCTTTTTTTTAATAGAAAATTAATATTTGCATTTTAGAGCTCTACAGTCTCAGATTATTGGTCCCAATGGCCCCTTTACTTGCTCATTGTTAAGTTCAGAGACAGGCATATACTGAATCAACTGCATCTGTTCTTGCATGATATGTCATAAGGGAAATGGACTGAGCTATCAAGAGGATGGTTATGCCAGGCTCTCGTTTTCCTAGCCCAGACACTGACTTTCAAAGTGGTAGATCATTGGTATTGGAGGAGGGGTGGGGGAAGCAAAATTCTATTTACTTCTTTTAAATGTGCAACATCTTTGTAACTTTTGTTTTTAATTCTTACAGCTGTGATTTTACGACTAATGACTTTGACTTGGATCTTGTAAAGACAACTTTCTGAATTAAATGTCTCAGTATGGAAATTACTGTCAGAATGCAATGTGACTGACTCATGTCACGTCAAAATTAATTCTAGTGATGCAGTCACTAGATAAATGGATCCAATGTTATTTCTCTACCAATTTTACCATTCTGTAGCTTTTAGGTACAATTTCAGTGAATTGCCCCAGTTCAGATGATACAAGTCAACTGGTATTCTCTGATGTGTGCTGGATATTCTCCAGGGCATCAGGAAAGAAATCATCTTCTATAAAATCATATCCTGTTTGCAAACATCATATTCCCTGAGCCACCAACTAATCTAGATTTATCAACCCTAGCCAATCTAAGTGCCAATTTCTCATCCAGTGTCACAAGCACAGCTCCTTTATATTTTTATGACTGTCAAAAAATAATATTTGCTGCCATTGGTGATGATTTGAATTGCCTCCTCTGAGCTGTGCAAATGGAGAAATAAGTCTGTTATCAATTTTGCTAAGCGTGTCTAGAGAATTGTGGATTGTTTCAGGTCCAAGTTATAAATGACAACAAACGCTGGAAAGCCTTTTGAAGCAGTGCAGCTGATGACGGTACTGTCATAAAATCTGGCTTGTTCTTTTTTTTTGCACCATTATTTGCAGCCGTCAAGGACATTAAAGGCTATGATTATTCAAAAGAATTGATCATTTTATAGCCTGGATCAGTTAGCATGCAAAATCGAGCTCAGTTGTTTGCAATTTTGCTCCTGTATACAACAGTGTAGTTTAAACATATCTACAAATCCATGAAGTCATTTATGCTACAATAATATCAAATAGAGTTCGTCAACAAAAAGAAAATACCAGAAAATGCAGGAATATAAAAGAAACATAAAATGTTCAAAACTGTTAGCAAATCCATTAGGTCAGGGCAAGGAATCTCCACCTGTCTTTTCACTTTCACATGTTGAGCGACTCGCTACTTATTTCTGACATTCACCAGCTTTACTGGCATGGAATCACAGAATGCAGCACAGAAATGAAAGCTATTCAGCCTATCAAGTCCATGCTATTTCTCTACAAGTGCAATTCCCTGGCCTTCCACGGCATGTTATTTTCAAACAGTTGAGTCAAGATTGAGTGGAACTGTTGCAAAAAGAAATTTCTGCATTCTAACATTATTTTCAAAGATGCAACTTGGACAAATTGCTTTGCATCTGCAAAGGCTTTCAAAGGTATTTGTTCCCTCAAATTATGCAATGGACTCCGCTTGAGTATGGTTTGCTATCTTTAATCTAGAAATTAGGACAGTTATAACTTTTGGCATCAGTAATCACTCCACAAATATTCAGGCCAGCAACTAATGGGACTCAAAGCCACAGGCATTGGCACGAGTTGAAGTGGCTGTAAATTGCTAGTGTAGTGGCAACAGTGAATCATTCTGGCTATAGAATGATTGAGGAGGCTTGCAGCAATTACTGATGTACATTCTTCAGCTTAACATGCATTGTTTGTAATGCAACTAGGTGATGGTTTTCTCACTTATTTTTGCATATACATTCAGTTATTTCCCAACGTAGGACAATCATTACACTCAACATACTTGTGGGTTTTTGTTATTCCTGCAGCCTGGCCCTCTCCATCTAATCATTGGATGCTTTATTGTCCTCATTATTTTTTTGGGAAGGGGGGGAACGTCAAGAAGTCAAAATTTAAATTCCAAAGTTTTATTATATCTCTTACTTCAGGATGAGTCACTAAGAGCTTTCTTTTTATTGCTGTTGTAAGATATATCACAAGATAAATATTTCCACAAGTTTGTAAATCATCAGTGCAATGACTGCCACTTCCTGTTCAGTGAATGGTGAGGTCAGCCTTCAGTTCCATTAAAGGTTAGAGGGGGCGGGGGTGGAAATTTGAGGGAAGCACAACTTTAAGAGATGTTTTTTTGAGTTAATGCTGCATCAGTGAGGTTTCTTAAAATTTAATGTGGAAAGATACTTGTAAAGAATAGAAGAAAAGACAGCACAAAACGTCAAATAGAGGGTGAACAAGTGATGTCTTTTCCATCTGGGGTTAAATATTCGAGAACATTGTTTCAGTGACTCACTGAGCAACCAATGTTTTGCTTGAGAATAGTTGGGGGAATTCTCCAGCTGTCAGACTTTAATGAAAGCCTGACTAAGACTTAATACAGTGCACAGAACATTTTTTTTAAGGAATCTAACATATAGAATGAACAGAAACAAAAGTTATACTTACTCCAAGACCCCCACAAGGGAGAGCAGTGAAGAAATTTTGCGTGACAGAACCTAGGTGAGGAAGGAAAAGAATAAGTAGTCTTAATTATTGCAAGTTCAGTTTTGCATTCTTTAAATTTCAGAAGCCAAGTTCCATGTCATAAACAGAGGAAGCTTGGTGGAAAAGAACGGGGTACAGAAAACATTCAAGTCTGCATAACCTCACAAGATGTTCATTTCAAGGTTGAGCTCATGTGGAATAGTTTCTGTTCATTTTACAGATGCCCATTATACACTTGTTTATATCACAAGATCAACACATGTTGGAATTTAAAATTATAGTGATTTTCTCCCTTCCTTGCCCAAAGGTGCTGCCTCATTGTATATAGGGCTGGACTTTCCTCTAGTTGGCAGAGTAGCTGTGATACAAAACTTCTAACTTTCATCACTTTGAATATCAATTTGTTTGGGTTAAACTAGTTTGCTTTGTAACGTGGGCTACCAGTGGGATCCTTGCCACCAGGATGAAGCCAACCTAGTAAGACCTGAAGCACCTGGAAAAAATCAAGAGGTTTAAAATGGGGCTGAAGTATCCTAATAAAGTAGATTAAAAAATTATTTTCAACTTCAGTCTCACGTGAAATTGGAAAGATAAGTGTTTGGGTCCTACACAGAGGTAAGTGAGGCTATTACCAGTCACTGTATGCTTGCATGGATCAAGTTAGGAGACACAACACTTTCAATCCAGGAATTACCATGGCACTTTTGTTGGCAATATTGGGCACTAGCAGGATCAGCAAATACACACAAACGTTTTAGAAGGATCTTTTTTATACATTTGTTAACAGGATGCTCATTGGCAAGGTGCCAATCCATGGGAGAGTGGGGGGTGGTGTTGGTCATTATATCACAGTTCTTTAGACCTTTTTGGCATTTATATGTTCTTAATTGATTTAATCTGGTACCAATACCTTTGAACCTTGATAGTTTTCTTCACTTTGTACTTGGATCCCTCATCCAGGTTTCTTAAATAAAATAATAAAATATGCGTTTCTCATTCTTTATTATTTAACCAAATTGCAACAAAATTTATGTTGTTTGTTTATGGAATCTGGGCAATGCAGTCATGGCAGCATTTGTTATCCATCATTGATTTCCCTAAGGGCATTAAGAATCAACCATACGTGTGCGGCTGGAGTCATGCATAGGCCAAACTGGGTCAGTGTGGCAGCTTCCTTTCCCTGAAGGACATTAGTTAACCAGTTGGGTTGTATCCTTTTAAATAGAATTGCTCATGGCATGCATTATTTCATGCTTTTTTTTGCTTTATATTCCTTCAATTACCTGCTTTTTGCATCACTTGTAGTAAAATAAAACAGTAAGTATACTTCCAAGAAAGAGTTACAAGTGAAAATACACATCTTAGTCTGCAGTGAAATATATTCTACAACTGATCTAATACATTCACTGCAGAATTGTTGTGGTGATATAGTAACAAAAATATTGGGCAGAATTTTTCTTATTTTTGACGAAGCATTTTCTCACACACTGATGCTCCAGTAATACTACCAAGGGCATGACTTAGAAATCAAGGCAGAGCTGGGCTGAGAGGTGGCAAATGGAGTTTAATGCGGAAAAGTGTGAGGTGATTCACTTTGGAAGGAGTAACATGAATGCAGAGTACTGGGCTAATGGTAAGATTCTTGGTAGTGTGGATGAGCAGAGAGATCTCGGTGTCCTTGTGCATCGATCTCTGAAAGTTGCCACCCAGGTTGATAGGGTTGTTAAGAAAGCGTACGATGTGTTAGGTTTTATTGGTAAAGGGATTGAGTTTCGGAGCCATGAGGTCATGTTGCAGCTGTACAGAACTCTGGTGCGGCCGCACTTGGAATATTGCGTACAGTTCTGGTCGCCGCATTATAGGAAGGATGTGGAAGCATTGGAAAGGGTGCAGAGGAAATTTACCGGGATGTTGCCTGGTATGGAGGGAAGGTCTTATGAGGAAAGGCTGAGGGACTTGAGGCTGTTTTCGTTAGAGAAAAGAAGGTTAAGAGGTGACTTAATAGAGACATACAAGATGATCAGAGGATTAGATAGGGTGGACAGTGAGAGCCTTTTTCCTCAGATGGTGATGGCTAGCACGAGGGGACATAGCTTTAAATTGAGGGGTGATAGACATAGGACAGATGTCAGAGGTAGGTTCTTTACTCAGAGAGTAGTAAGGGCGTGGAATGCCCTGCCTGCAACAGTAGTAGACTCACCAACTTTAAGGGCATTTAAATGGTCATTGGATAAACATATGGATGATAATGGAATAGTGTAGGTTAGATGGGCTTCAGATTGGTTTCACAGGTCGGTGCAATATTGAGGGCCGAAGGGCCTGTACTGTGCTGTAACGTTCTATGTTCTATGTAAGGCTGGCACCACACTTCACTGACAGAGACCTGGAAGTGCTGGGGAATGGGGTGGTGAAGGCAATCCATTTTCATGCTGACCAGCAAAGTAGGCTGCACCACCAGACTCAGATAGCCTGGGCAGAGATAGAAGCCTTGGTCAGCACAGTATCCCAGGTGAAGCACTATACACAGCAGTGCAGGAAGAATGTTAATGGTCTTCTAAATTTCAGAACGGTAAGTGCCACCATTCTCTCTCTCGCTCCTGACTTACACTTAAAAGGCCACCACTCACTCTAACTCTGTCACCGCATATTTATCTCACACCAAAGCACATGGACAACAACTCTCACTATTGCATACATCATGTCCACTCAATGGCTCTCACCCACCTCATCCTCCCAAATCGCAAACCCTTCTCAATCTCTGTAATCACTTCTCACTCATCTGTGACACCTTATCACCTCTCCTACATTTGCTTCACCACTAAATGCTCTTTCATTCACTTTCATCATATTCAAGCTCTCGCTTTGTCTCGTTGTAAGAAAACACAGCCCATCCCTCAGCCTGACATCTTCACAGCACCCAGACCGTTCTACCCGTAATCCTAGACTGTTCACACCTCATTTGCACAACTCACCATTGTGCAAACCCTAGACTGCAATCGGTCAAGTCCCTTGCCTGACTGAAGGGCCATTCTTGACTGACCATATCACCTCTTGTCCCCACTAGGGACTGGTCACCTTTCATTTTCATACATTTGGTTGAAGCACATGCAGGGTGTTTATCATGTAAGATACTGGCACATGCAGAGGGTGTGACATCGATGTAGTATGTCCGTCCCCTTGATTGTTTAGTGCTCCAAACACTGATAAGCTGCCACTTCTTCCAAAGTGCTAAAAAAAATGCAAGAGACAGAGGCTGACAGTCTCCAATTAAGGTAAACTAAGTGAGTGCTAAGAAATGAAGTTCAGAGCCATAAGATGGATCTTATATCGATGTACAAGATGCATATGTATCCCTGCATGAAAGTTGTAGGTCTCCCTGAGTTCCACAGTGAAGTCCTGAAGGACTGAAGTGCGTGAAAGTTGGACTGGCAGTAATCTAGTGGTGATGCTGGTGGTTTGCTAATGCCAACTTGGCTGGACAAAGGGCAGTGGAGTACCGTATCCATGGAATATACTGGGACATTGTGATGGAGGAAGAGTTGGATTTCGGCCTGGATTAGCAAGTGGTGAGCTGCTGCTGCCAGATGATCACTCAGACTCTTAATTTGGGAATTGTCTAGGTTCTCAGGGGAAGAGAAGGGAATTGGGAGATGCACAGAGATGAGGTGAGCTTAGCCAATAATGAAACATAAATGCATGGAAATAAAGTAGTCACCACTTCATAGCGAGATTCTGAAGTCATCATTTAAAGCCTAAGATGGAAATTTGGAATTTTGTTCTCAATGTTGAGAGTTTTATTTTTTAATTCTTACAGTATTTCCCCAACTTTCTTGCCATTACCCACACTGCTGAAGGAAAGCAAACATCTTGAGTACAGATTTGCACAGTACTTTTAGGAGATGATTTTAATTCACGCTGGCTGGACTAAATGCAATAGCATGACCTGATAATGCCATCAGTTTATTTACCATCCCATTCTCTTGACACTCTGGCACTTGTTATCTTGATTAAGATCATGAGATGAGCTACTAGGGTTCAGTGATGCATGCTCCATCCAACTGATTCAGGTATTGAGTAGTTTTTAAAATGATCCCTAAAGAGGCAATTGGAGACTTCTTATAAAAAAAAGCCAGGAATTTTTTTATGGCAATGGAAAGAGTCCTTGACTCATAAATACATTCCATCCCACTGCCAACTTTCCTGAGACCCTCTGCTGAGATTGTTCTGAATATCTACAGAGCCACCTTCAATGTTCAGGTTCTACCTTAAAAGAACTGGCACACATTTTACTGTAACTAATACCACCACTCTAAAATGGAAACAGACAATAAAAGAATAATCCTAAATTTTGATAAATATGTTGAGTCAAGTGACAATTTGTTACACTCCTTGCTGAGTGCTTTAGGCTGACACGAGCAATGACTGATGAATATTATGGAATGTGTGCTGTCTGTAGAACGAGGCTCTACAAACCTAGCAGCTTCCTTGTGTCCAGCTTTTGTCTGTTGAGGAGGTTAGTACCAAAGAGCAGTGAATGATATTCAGAGTGTACCATCTGTATTTCCTCCAAAGTGGCTTTTCGACCTCGGATTTGCTAAAGGAATAAAACAGCAAAACATCCATTCACTCAGCAACCCGCACAACCTTATAAACAATTGTTACTCTTATGGAGAATGTGATTAAACGTACATATTAATTTGTTATCCCAAAATACGTCCACAATTTTATAGCAAATCACAGTGTTAGGTTCTCATTGCATTCCAACATATTGCTCATCATAATAACCAGATGGTAGAGATTTTGCATGTCTTCTACTTTTAACAGAGTAACCAAACTGAATAACACAGAAGTTATATACGGATACAAAATTCTCATGTAATGTGCTCAGCAGGAAATTCCCAGGGTCAAGCCAGATCACTTGTTTTAAATAAAAATAGAAATTGCTGGAGAAACTTAGCAGGCATGGTAGCATCTGAGGAGAGAAAGCAGAGTTAAAATTTCAAGTCCAATGAACCATTTAAAATGTTAACTCTGCTTTTTCTTCACACTTGCTGCTAGGCCTGTTGAGTTTCTACAGCAATTACTGCCTTTGTTTTCAGATTTCCAGCATCCGCAATTCTTCATTTTATTTTACTTGACTTAAATGTTGCCCACTATCATTCACCACTGAATTCAATAGAGGATACAATCAAAAATGGTGTGAAACCAATACTTTTACCAATTCTGGTAGCATCTCAACAAGCGCAATAAGTTAAATTTTATCCCATTTGAGTCATAATCGTATTTTGAAATTAAGCTCTGTTGTATCAACTTGGTAATACCCGATAGAAACCTGTTGAACGTATCCCAATTCTGACTGAGAGAGAGAGAGAAGCAAAACATGGTGACACAAAAATCCTTTTTGGTGAAGACACTGAATAGAAAAATGAGCTCCCTTACACCATTATTTCTGAATACCAAAGTGGGGAAACAAATGAAGAGTCAGTGAATCATAGAATAGTTAGAGCACACAATGAGACCATTTGGCCCATTGTGCCTGTGCCAGCTGTCAGCAAAGGCAAATCATCTAGTTCACTCTCATGCCTGTTCTCTCTAGCCCCACAAATGTTTTCTCTTCAAATAATTCTCCAATGCTCCTTCAAAAGCGGTTATTGAATCTAACTCCACCATTACCTGAGGTAGTACATTCCAGATCCTAACCCCATACTGCTTGAAAAAACATCTTCCTCATGTCACCATTGCTTCTTAGCTAGTCACCTTAAATTGATGGTCTTGGGCTGTTGAATCATCTTCACACACAAACAGCTTTACCCTATGCACTTAGTCCAGATCCCTCATCATTATGAACACCTGTATCTAATCTTCATTTAAATTTATTTTCTCCAAGGAAGACAATTCCAACTTCTCCAATCTATTCACATATCTGACATTTCCCATCTCTGGAGCCATTTTCACTTCTCTTTGTGTAGCCTCTCTAATGCATCTCTTAAGATGAACTGCCCAAAACTAGGCACAATTCTTCAACTGAAGCTGAACTGGGGCTCGTATACATTTTTCATAGCTTCCTTGCTTTTGTATGTCCGTATTTATAAAGCCTAGGATCCCATACATTATGAACAGTTCCTCAAGCTGCCCTACCACATTCAACAATTTATGCTCAAAATCTTCTGCTCTTCAATCACTTTAGAGTTGTATCTTTTATTTATGTTGCCTTTCGTTATTCCTCCTAAAAAAAAATGATTCACCACATACTACCATGCATTAAATATCATCTGTCAATTTTTCACCTGTTCCACCAGCTGGTCTATGTCCTCTTGAAGTTTATCACTATGCTCATAGTTCACAATATTTTCAAGTTTGTGTATTCTGCAAATTTTACAGTTGCACTCTAATAAAGACATGCTCATTAATATGCAGTTAAGAAAAGCAGTGGTCTTAAGAGAAAGATTTGAAAAATGCCTGTATCTACCTTTCTCTATTCTGAAAATTAACTATACACCATTCTATTGCTTGTCACTGATGCAATCACTTTTATTCTATGTGCTCTAACTTTGCTGACAAGTCTGTTCTGTGCTATTTTATCGGTGATCTTTTGAAAACCCATATACATCACTTACCATCATTCAGCCTTCTTCATTACCTTGTTAAAAAGATCAGCCACTTTAGTAAAATACTATTTGCCATTAACAAATTCAAACTAGCTTCCCTAAATTAATCCACATATCTCCGAGTGACTGTTAATTCTGGCCTAAATTATTATTTGTAAAAGCTTTTCCATGACTGTGTTTAAACTAACCAGCCTATAGTTGCTAGTATCGTACTTAAATCAGTGGTTAGCACTGCTGCCTCACAGTGCCAGGGACCCGGGTTTGATTCCATCCTCGGGTGACTATCAGAATGGAGTTTGCACATGTGTCTGCGTGGGTTTCCTTTGGGTGCTCTGGTTTCTTCTCATAGTCTAATGATGTACAGGTTAGGTGGAGTAGCCATGGGAAATGCAGGGTTACAGGAATAAGGTGGGGAGGGGTGGATCTGGGTGGGATGCTGTTTGGAGGGTCAGTGTGGGGCTGAATGGCCAGCTTCCACACTGTAGTGATTCTGTGATTTACTGGATAAAGCTATAACATTTGCAATTATCCAATCTCCTGCAACATCCATGTATCTATGTTCGATTGGTAGTTTATGGTCACTGCCAATTTCATAGTCACATTTTTCTTAGTATTGTCAAATGTGTCTCACATAGTCCTGCCTGAATTATCAATGAAATAATTTCACAAAGGCCAATAACCCATCACCAAGTCACCCTCCTTGACACTGATCCATCTCCCTCAGAGCCAGCTCTCAGAGTAGCAGAACGTCTGACACTCCTGTTTATGTCTGTCAACCAGGGCTCCCTGACTGAACCAGATTAACAATCCCATTCAGGGAACTCATATTCTATCAGGTCCATCTGGCTACTTTCATTACAATCTCTACAATCAACAGTAAGGTACAGTCTCATTTTTCTTTGCAATTTCTGTTACATGCACCCTTTTTCTACTTCGTTTAATATTTAATCTAGTTTGCCAGGAAGCTCTTGACTTTTTTTTTTAAACATTTCCCTCTTGTGGAAACATATTTTGACTGCACCCGAATGATCTCTCTTTTTTTAAAAAAACCATTGTTCCTATATAGATTTTCCTGCTAATCGTTGAGGCCAATTTATCTCGGCCAGATCTGTTCTCACCAATTGAAGTTGGCCTTCTCCCAGTTCTTTTTTTTTATTTCTGGGAATAATCTCTCCTGAAAGTGCATCAGCTGCCAAATTGACAGACAGTGAATTCCAATACGCTGGCCTAGAGCCTAAATCAAGTGATACGTCCCTAAAGTATGAACATCAGCAGCTTAACAGAAAAACCCATGGTTCACTTAGTTCTTCTGGGTTGTTCTTCAATTGATCAGTGCTGGGCATCAGAGAAGGGGCAAAATTTTATTTTAAAAATTACGTTCATTTTCGTGTAGGAGACAAAAAAAGTACCTCCTGTCTCTAAATCAGGCCTGTGTCAGCTATCATTTGCTCCCTTTCCATTCCTATTCATCTCACCTCTAGAAATTGTCTCTGTGCGAGGTCCATGCCAGAACCATACATATTTTCCTGGGTTCCAATGAGTGAGTTACATTGAGACACTGAGTTGGAATCTACAGTTCACTGATTTGAGGGGCATGGGACCAGAGGCTTCACATTCAGTGAGCGTCTGCATTTCACATTTGGGTGCATGCTATGGGTGCACCACATGTTGCAATCAGCTTTAGGAGCAAAATGGTGAGTTTCTTAACTACAATCAGAAAGACATTTATAAATACACCAACTGACAAAATGTCAAATTGAAAAACTGAAAACAAGAACGATCGTCTATCTGAATGAACTGGGCGACTACCAACGTCGTCTATGGCAAGGATATTGTCAGTAGAGACAAACATTAAAATTCTTGAATATTTTCATCCAAGCAGTAAGACATTTCCATTACAGATTCATAACCAACGGATTTATGGACCAGGACTATAGTGTATGAATGGTTTGAAGATCGTCTGACATGGTCAGTATTTATCACATTAAACAGTCACTTACATAGTCAAATCATACACACGGAAAAAAAAATACAGGATCAGAATTCTTATTTTTGTGAAAGTGTTTGTAATTAATATCGCAAATTATAAAACAAAGTTAAAATAAACCTAATTATTTTGGCAATATTACTGGCCAAACTGTATAAAGTACAGTAATCAATTGTAGGCTGGAAACACAGAATTTTGTTTTGGGGTAGCAGGGTTCCCTGGGTGTCCAGTCAAGTGACCGCGAGTAAGAACTGATGCTGCCAGTATAGAAATGTGACTGCCTTGGAGCACAAGAGTTATTAAAAAATGATAAAGATAAAATAAAACTCAACTCTCCAATTCTCACCCACTCTCACCTCTCACACTGTCCCAATGTCCATCCATGCCAAACTATGCCATGTCATGTCACCATTCATCCGAATGACTCCCATCAGGTTATCCTTTCACCTTCAATGGCCCTTTACAGATTTCATGCCAATCACCCTCACAGCCACTCTTTCCCTCCATACCACTCAATGACACACTACCTACCTGCTTTGGTCTCTCATACACCCATGCCACTCAACGCCCCCTATCGTTCCCCTCGGCTCCTTAAAACATCTTTGTCAGCCTATGTCTCCCATTCATTTCCACGAGCCTTTATAGTCACTCAGCCAACTTATTACTAATTCATGCCAATCCATGACCCCAAACCAACCCCACTTTTCCTTGATTCCTTTCTGCCAGTTCCTCTTTTGTCCATCATGGTCAAACCTCAGGACCCATGGTGACAAAAAGTAATTGGTCCATTCATGACACCATATTATTTGAAATATCCCCCCTTGATGAATAAAAACCCAATCAAATTCCGAAAAATAATTTCTTATGAAAACAAATATTTAACTTAATTACTTATTCCTTTTCTATAACAACGAACATTGCTATTCTATAAGCACTTGGAACTGACAATCCAATTTTTCACTGCTCAGGCACCTCTGTGATAATGCTTGGATGTCAAATCAGTCATGCAACTCCAATCTGATAATGGTAAACCTCAAGTTTATGCCAACAGAAGGGTATAAAAATCACTACATTTTCAAAAAAACCCACACTTCTAAAAAAAATTTTAAAGCCTTGGAGAACTAGACCCCTTGTCAGTGTTCCAATAAGTTTTGGTAGATCTTTGGTAGCTTTGACAGCTCTTGGACATCTTGGCAGTTCCTCAAAAGCTTTGTCAGTTCCAATGAGTTTACAAACTTTTTACATACATTTATCATTATATTTTAAAAAATACAATGTTTACCTGATCTTTCTCAAGGCTACAAAAAACAGAAATTGCTGGAAAAACTCAGCAGGTCTGGCAGCATCTGTGGAAAGAAAGCAGAATTAACGTTTTGGGTCCAGTGAGCCTTCTTCAGAGCCTCTCTCAAGGCTATCCTGGCTTTCCAAACCCTGCTCCTCCCGGGCTTAATCTGTGCATTGATTTATATAGGCAGTTTCCTCCCGGAACCAACGATGTGCAAATTTACTATGGCCCTCATTTTGCACTCCAGTAAAAAATGGTGGAGGTCAGGGCTTCCAGAATCCAGGTTCTGTTGGCACTTCCATGTGGGAAGGCCTCTCCATTAAGTAACAGCTGTTTGAGTTGCAGTTACTTTGCTTTTTCTCTTATAAATTCCATCCAGGAAAATCCTTGTAGACTCTAATTAGCAACCTTTTTAATATCTGGTGATGTTGGTTCCATGCTGCATAAATTTAAACGTACCTTGACTACAAAACACATCAGCACTCACAATTGAGATCCTGATTCATGGTTAACACAATCTTTATGAATTACATTCGAAAGATTCACTTAATGGAGACTCAAAATATAAATGCAACACTGGCTTTCTGTAAGTGTTAAAAAAAAAGATTGTTAGCAATCTACTATTAAGTAAAACATATAGTTAAATATCTTGAGCATCTCCTTTAAGATCCATGGAACATTAACATTCAGTGGATATTGCATGTCAATGCAAATAATATCAAGTGATTGCAGGCTTTGCCAGAAAGTTTCATCACTTAACTCTTGAAATGTTTGATCTGTGAAAAATATTCAAGAATTTTACAAATTTATGTCAACTAGTCTATAGTTTGAGATCACAGCTTCACAACGTGAAAATTAGTGATTATTTGTATACCAAACTCACCTCACAAATGCTGAGCAATCCTGCTTCCTGCAACCTTGACCAGATGCTTTGTATTCTTCCAGGATGTTCAGGGTGAATGCTGTGGTTACCGCAGATGCACTGGTGTTTAAGCATGATGGTGTCATAGACAACTCCTACAGTAAGAGAATAGCAAAGGAACAAAGACAAGAATAGTGGACTTCTCCATTCATAGTAGGCATGTTGCATACTAAAAAACAAAAATGACCCAATGGAAGAGAAAAATAATTTTGAATCTGCTGAAATGAGGATTTCCCACTTTGCTGCAGTGGTAGATAAAACTTCATTAAATTTATACATTTATATATTTATTCATTTGTTCATGCATTATTTAAATTTACATTTCAAATAGCACTGTTTTTTGTGCTTCCTAATATAAGCAAAGTTCTTCCAGGTCAATGAAATTAGGGTTGCAGTATTAGAATGCATTGGATAAATGTTCCAATGGAATAAAGAGAAGAGATTGTACCTTCCAAGAAGGAAAACTAAAACAGAAACTTACAATTCTATAGTTAGTGCTCTCGCAAAATTCTTCATGAAGAAATCTCAATTAATAGATCTTGTGAAATTACAGATCAACCTGTAACACTATATTTGGAACATTCTAACTAGTTCATTGTTTTTAATAATTTTGATATGATGATGGTGTTTTGGATAGGTTGTGTCTACTAAAGAGCATCTAAATTATTTTTGAAGTCAGAGTTGAGTGGCCTCAAATATTGTCGGACTACATTTACATTCAGTGGGAAACAAAAAAGTGAGAAGTTGGTAGAGGGAACTTCAGGTATTCGAGAAAGTCAATGGAAATACATGAACCATCTTCATAGATCTGCCTGACTGCCATGCAAACAGAAGCCTCAATGAGATATATTTCTCTACCAACAGAAAATGATAACACCAACTAAACCAAGTCTTATAAGATACCTTCAAAAAAAAGCAAAACATTGCAGATGCTAGAAATCTGAAATAAGAAAAAGCAGAAAGTGCAGAAGAAACTCACGTCTGGCAATATATGGAGGGAGAAATAGAGTTACCATTTCAAGACTAATATGGACTCTTCTTCTGAAGGACAGTCTTAACTCTTACCTCGAAACATTAACTCTGTTTCTCTGTCCACAGATGCTGCCAGACTTGAGTTTCTCCAACACTTTGTTTTTATTCAAGGGATACATTGAAGGCTTACCCATCAGGCTGCAATACGCATCAAATAAGTCTGATAGGTTACACAGAAATAACATTCCAAAATCCAAACAAGAAACACATATATTTCAGAAGTTTTCTTTCAACTAATGAAGCCTAATGCAAACAAAACATTCAAATATTTGGCTTATTAAATTCAAAATGATGATACACATACACAATATAGAGAAAAAGATCAAAATCTCCCATATACATACCAACTCCACTTATTTATTGAAAAGGAAAATCTTGGCCCAAAAAATATAGTCACGTTCAAATTTATATTCAGAATACATCCTTACTGGGAATTGGAGCTATGAATAGTACTATATTGTATTCTTCAATTACAGAAATCCATTTTATTCTAGTCATGATTTAATACTAAAAGTGTTTGTGTTTTACCTCACCTGATTCCTGTACATATTTTTCTTCACAAATCTCTAAAAGTGTGTGTTAAACTCAAATTAGGGTAGACCCAAATTCTTAGGTCTGCTTATCTAAATAAGGCATCTGCTCAGTTTATGTTTCTGCGTGGATAATCTTAACATCCGCACACCCTCCTACCTGCCCCCCATAACGAATAGGAGAGGGTCTGGATGGGGTTACAGTAGCAGAAATGTGAAACCTGATCCCATGGTATGAATGGTCTTCCGGTTTAACCACAGCAGCTTTCTGGAGTCCAAGTAACCTGCTCCAGGGGTGCAATTCTGTGACCACAATACTTAATGAAACTTCATTCCTCAGATTTAGGGAATCATTTGAATTTATCAGGTACAGTCAAGGTTCCCGGGGTCCATTACATTCTGCCAAGTCTGTCCCTCCTTCTCTTTCTCTCCGACATATTACTCCCACAGTTTGTCCCTGCAAGATTCGGAGTCCGTGTCCTTATGTTCACTTAGTCTTATTTTCATTAGAGAAGACTATGGTACTTGCAACCATACCACCGCTTCTAACATTTCCACCTCATGGGACCTTCACCAAGGTTACTGAGATTTTATCAAATCTTTAATAATGCTGACATAATTTTATTGTTTTTGTAGTTTTATCAGGATTTGTACACGTGTAAGGATTATGTATCTTAAAAAAAGGTTCCTGCTGTATTGGGATAAATCATTTCATGAAGATTGACAGAGTTGACTTTGTTTGCTAAACTGAATTCCTGCAAACAAAGATTTCACTAATGCGCTAAAACTTAGCTTTCAGTAGTTTACCAGGATTATTTGTAGCATATTTACAGAAAGATTCATTATCAGGCAAGAGAAAACAATTATTTAACAGGTTTGGAAAATCTTTGTTGACATGGCCTTAAGGTGATACCCATTATCCTGTAGGCCTTCTTGATATGCTACTTTTTCAATGTGACAGCCTTCTCTCCTGTAAATAGGATGGTCTCTGTCTACCAGTGACCCAATGACCTCCATGTCTACTCAGTGATTGGACAGGATAGGTGAATGTGAATGACTGTCAGTGCTGTTATGCATTCTCAGTGTGAGAGAGCTATTTTCCTTACTCACAGTTATGACTTAACAGGGTTACTTCATTGTATGGACAATTTAATAGAGGGATAAATGCCATTCAGAAATTCTTTACATTGTTCTTGTTTGGAGGCCACTCCACAGAAAGAGACAAAGAAAGAGGAGGAAAGATGATTTGTAGTGCCCCTTTGCTTGCATGTTTTTCCGTATAAATGCTGGGTAAAATAAGATTCAGGAAAGAACATGTAGCTGTCTTTTCAACCTGTCCAACATACAATATCTGTTAGACAAGATAATTGTTACTCAGATACAGATTAATTAAGACCATTGCATATTTTGGGATCAGATCTTACATTCTGTTGAAGACCTTTACCGAAAAGGATGTTCCTTGTCCAAATGGAATAGGGACTTAATGAGATAGTAATCAATTGTAAGTACAGTGTACATTGGCTTTTATTTTTCACAGCTCACTGAGTGTTCTCAATTCCTAAGGGGGACAGATATGAACCCAGTCCAGCTAAGGGATCAGCAGAAGACTTTGAGGCACAACATCAGCTTAATAAATCCATAAACTTATTTTATATTTCTCATTAAAAAAAATTGCAAAATCTTCCATGTTCACCCTGACCATTGCATATAATTTTAAAATAATTTGACAAAACTTTCAAAATTTACATTTTGTTGAAAATGATAACAGTGCAGTTTGAATGTTGTTTTAAAGTTTGTGGTAATAACACAGAAACAGATAAAAATGGATTTTTAAGGATTTAAATTTTTATTAAGTTTACAACACGTCATTACATTTTGAGTGAACTTTTATGACTTCTGCAGCAAAGTGGTTAAAATATACATCACTTACAGTTAGAACATCAAAGCCAGCAGCCAGTAGCTGTTATTAAAAAAATTTAAAACTTCACATTTTAAAATTACATAACTTATCATTTTAAAGTTTGGCATTATCATAAAGGGCTGTGAATAAATGCAATTGTTGGCTTTGGTTTACTCATTGCATCAAATAATGAATACACTGTTCATTAAATCCCTTGGATGCAATTTAATCCCCATCTGTATCAGTGTGAAACATGTCATTCTCTTTTCTTCACTGATCAACCTCTTTCCCTTTCCCAATTCCCACCTCAAGAATGCAAAAATTCAGATGCACAAACATACATTAGAGATTAAAAGAAAAACATGTAAATAGTGGAAATGTAAAAATAATTGGAAATAAATGACAAGTCTGTTAAGCATTTGCAAAAGGACAGGTTAGAAGTCAAAGGTTCTCCATCTGAAACATTAAGCTGCATTGTCTTGTTCAAGATGCTAATTGGACTTGCTGTGTATTTCCAATGTTATCTGCTGATGGTTTAGGTATATATACACGAGGGTCTAATTTCCATGGGAGCCACTCCTGTGACTTTGCCAGAAGATTTGCAACGAGTTCAGAGAATATTTAGGTGTAGAGCTGGATGAACACAGCAGGCCAAGCAGCATCAGAGGAGCAGGAAGGCTGACGTTTC